GCTCTCGACACGAACAGAGGATGCTGCGACGTGTGCACCTCAGCAGGTGGGGGGCCTAATGGCACGCGAGCGGGTTGTTGTTGCTGCTGCGATGAGTGGTGCGTGTGCTGGCCAATGGAACGAATGATGCTGCAGGGGCGGATCCTCCGATGTGTGCATGCGCATGCGCATTTTCTTTTTTTGCTGCCCCTCCCCTGCGCCTGAAACAAGAGCTTTACACGACTTTGGGTGCAATGGGTGTCTCTCTCTCTGAGTGAGTTTGTGTGTGTATGTGTTACGGGCGCCGCCACCACACACTTACTCCCTTTTGAGCTCCCTCTGCTTGCCCGTGGAATTCCTTGTTTTCCTCTTGTCTCTCTCTGTGGGCGTCGTCTTCGGCGGATGCCGAGGCGTGGTGCCCCGTCACACACACACGCACACACCGCCAGGCTGCATGCATGGCCCAGAGATGTTAGTAGGCCAATTGAAGGGGCTGGTGTGGTCCACGGTGGTCATCCTGACGCTGCTCCTCACACTCTGCTTCTGCTACAGCAAGTACTGCGCCCGGCGACGGATAGAGCGGCGCCGCGCAGCTCTTCTTCGCCGACGGGAACAGGAGGAAGATCAACTGAGACTCCGTCGTCTTGAGGAGATACGCCAAGGCTTACTGTACTTGATGCTCTACTCGGAGGGCCCTCAGGCCGCCGCCACGTCAATTCCAACTGCGGATCCCGCAGTAGGCGACAACCGCAGCCCCGCCACAGGGCCCCTCACTGGAATACCACTCGCCTCTGCCACAGCCGCCGTACTACACCCCAGCACCGCGACTTCTGGTGGGAGCGATGCGGACGAAACAACTCCCCATCGGTCGCGACAGACGTCTCACGCTGAGGAGGACTCTGTGTTTCTGTACGGCACCGCCGAGTACCTGCAACGGCCCCCCACTGCTGAGCACGACAGCAACACGGAAGCAATAGGCGGCGCAGTTGAGTCACCGAGTGGAGTCTGCAGCGCAGACGCAGCCGGCATGGGGGTGAAGAAATAATTTGGCGCCAACTGCCCAGATGGAGCTTCGGTGGTGGTGTGGCCCGCTGGCCTCCTCTCTGTGCCTTCGCACACAGACACGCCACTGCCTGCCTGCCTGCCTGGCGACCCTCCCTCCACCTTTCCATCTCTCTCTCTCTTTCCACCTCTTCTTGTCGCAACTGTAGTAAGCTAAAGCCTCTGGAGAGAGAAGCAATCACATGCGCACGACTGGCAACGAAGAGACAGCGCTGACCGCTATGCACCCGCCTACCGCCGCGGCTCCCGGCACGAGGGGCACACGTCCCGACGATGACACTTTCTCGCCGCACCCCTCCACTTACAATGAGGGCAGCATCGCCAAGAAAGAGGAGGCAAATGCGCCGTCTGAGAACCAGTCGCCGGCTCCCAACGGTCTTCTCGCGAAGCTGAACACGTGCGTGAACGTCGTAATTCCACCTGGAGGAATCCTTGCGAGCGCCTTCAACCTCGCGTCGTCGTCGATCGGGGCCGGCATCCTTGGTCTGCCCCTGGCTGCGAACAAAAGTGGGGCCGTGATGGCCATCGTGTACCTTGCGATCATTACGTTTTTGA